GATGCTTAAATAGGGTGCAAAACCCCGAATTTAGGGTTTTTCCAAACCCAGACCAACTCGTCGAGTTGATCCCCCCCAACTCGTCGAGTAGGTTTCTCAACCCGCGTCCAAACTTATTCCTACTCGTCGAGTTATCCCCCTTAGACTCGACAAGTTGACCTTCAATTTGCATATTATCTTTCCTTAATTAGTATTCCAAATTTCGGGTGTTACACTCTCCCTACGAAGGTTGGACTCATACAAGAGCTGCACCATAGAGCTAAACCTAGCCTTCTAAAATTATTTCGTTTCTGTAATATGTAACTTAGCATATTCGCTTACTAAGTAGCTGGAATTAGCAAGAACTCCTAAATGCACAAAGCAAGCAGCATTCGAGCATCAAGTAATCAGAACAGAGCATAACCTAGTCAGACCATCCTATCACTGACTGATCAACACTAGCATGCAAATCTATAAGCTCAAAAAACAGGCTTACAAAGGCATCTCTCCTAGAACCTTATCCCTAATCTAGAATGTGATTCACAGATTCACAATTCAAAACATACCATAACATATATGGGTATTTTGGGATAACTTACTTGAGCTGGGCTGATTGCATGCACCACACCCTTTTCTCTTTTAGAAATCATGTTTATATAAAAAATGTTTTTCTTTTGAAAATTTCTACCAAGTCCTCAGTTTGAGTTCAGACACACCCGAGAGTGTGCCCGAATCCCTCAAACCAAGGCTCTGATACCAACTTGAAACATCCAAAAATATGGTCCCAAAAAATTTCGTTTTTATAATAGATAGAGTAGTTTTTTCCAGTAACATCCAAACATTTAAATAAAAAACAAATGTATCAATTTGCTAGAAAATCAGAGTAAAACATCATAGCGGAATCTCAATGGCGTATGCGATGCAGTCATCCCGAGCTCTTCCCTTTACAAACGAAAGTACCTGAAACATGAACTAAAAACGGTAAGCATAAAGCTTAGTGAGTTCCTCCAAAATACCTCATACCATACATACAATGAGCATATAGTGGGCCCCGCCCGGTCATCGAGTTGAGCTTAGAAGTGAATCGGGCCCCGCCCAACATGCATATAACATATATAAAATAAACACATACACATGCAACATAGATACATAACATACAAACAGTCATTGGGCCCCGTCCGGCATCGAACCTTAGCCCGGAAAGCATATAAACACAGGCACATGCAAGAGTCACAAAGACATCTAGCATACTATCAACATAACGATAACATGGGCCGGCATTGGTGCCTTCGACCGCTAAACCCGGTAAGGAAACTCACCTTGAATACAGAAAGGTAGCTGAACGGATCCCGACTCTGAATATCGACTCCACTCAACCCCTAAACAGAAAAGATTTCCTTAAATACAACTCAAAATCCCCAAAAGCCCCTTATAGGTCAAACTTGGTCAAAGACTAAAGTCAAAGTCAAAGTCAACGGACCGAGTTGACCCAACTCGCCGAGTTTCTCCATTAGTCTACAAATTCGGGAAGAAACTGATCCAACTCGCCGAGTTTATCCACAAACTCGACGAGTTCACCAGAAACCCAACATATTAATTCATTAAGTCGACCTTATCGAAACTAAGAGCTTTACAACTCAGATCTTAACTGAAATGGCATCTAGAAGGGTAAAGTTTCCAACTTTACCCCTAAGAACCACCAAAATGGTTTCAAAAACCAAACCCTAGGCTTAAAAGGGTGAGGGCTTAATCATTAAGCCCTTAATCACCAAAGGCATAGCCCCAAACTGCAGATCTGGACCTAAAAGCTGAATGACTACGTAAAGTTTCCAACTTTACACTCATGCATGACTAGGAGAGGCTCAAATGCTCAAAAGAGGCCAAAATAAAGACTTAATGAAAGCATGAAGCCCTTAAGACCATAAACTTGGCACCTTTATGCCAAAAGAGCTCATGAAAATCTTAGATCTGAAAGAATAACATTTGGGACATCCTACACCCCCATCATCCACCCAAACAAGGGTAAAAGCATACAAACTAACCTAAGAAGAGATCTATGTAACTAATAAGTAAGGTATGAACTTGATACCTCAAAAACTTGATAAATAAGCTAGTGATTCTAGATCCAAGACTCCTTCTTCAAGCTAAGCAACTCCCAAATTCCTTAGCTCCTTCAATATGCACCAAAAATAGACACTTAAGGCTCTCCTCAAGCTCACACACTCAATAATGGAAGTAAATGCTCGATTTTAGGGTTTCTGGACAGAGGAGGCTGGTAAGGAGGCCAGCCAAGGGACTTAAGGCCTTTAAATAGGGTGCAACACCCTAAAAATTAGGGTTTCCTTCCCAGCTGCGAACTCGCCAAGTTGAGGCACCCCAACTCTCCGAGTTGACTCATTAAACTTTGCGGCCAAAACAACTTCGACACGTCGAGTTGTGGCTTCCAACTCGCCGAGTCTTCCAAGAAAAAAGTAAATAATTAGAAATAAATTCATACCAGAAACCAGACGTTACAACAAATGAAACGGATAATATGAGAAACTAACTTACAAATATATTTGTTGGTTGTAGCCAAGATTGCAAGGGAGACCGTCGGTCAGGTAGCCGACAACTAGTGACGAAGGTGGAACTTGCATCAGTCGGCAAAAGGGAGAAAAAAATGAATACCAATTTAGTCTGAAATTAAAATCGTTGGGGGAGGCCATTCATACCTCGTGGCTTATGTCTTCCCCTAACCCCAATTATCGCAGCCATCACTGATGGTGAAGTTGGTCAGCTGCATGTCAACTGTCTTGGTTTTCTCTTCATCACCATGTTGCAAGAACAAGATTGTCTGTGAAAATATCAAACCAAACATATGTGGTAGTCAATATTCGAAGAAGAAGGGCATGCATTACATAGGTGGAGTAAAGCTAGCATTGACGGTGAAGCAGATGATTAATCGTAGTAAGAGATAAAAACCTAAGCTAAAGACGAAAGATGGGGTAGCGCTACCTGACTGATAAAATGTTTGTTAAATCTAAAATCGAACCCTAATCTTTGGTTTCTCATCGATATATTATGTAATCGTGAGGACCAGCGGACTGGAACCAAATATAGGTGGTAGTCAATCTTCGAAGAAGATGGGCAAGCTTCACATAGGTGGAGTAAAGCTATCAGAACTAACAAGCGGTGAATAAGAAGAACAACACGTCAATGATCGGAGGAGGTAAGCCAACTAAAACCGTCAAGCCTAAGCTAATACTAGAACATGATCGGCTAAACAGGAAACCACTTTGCTTCAAACTATTATTGTTCATAAGCCCTTTTCTTTTTAATATGCGTGTTTGTGTGTGTGTGTGTGTGTGTGTGTGTATATATATATATATATACATATATATATATATATATATATATATATATATATATATATATATATATATATATATATATATATATATATATAGATTCAACCTTAGCCACATATTTCACATCTGCCGCTCTAATCCTTCGGCGTACCGACTCGACGGGTCAGTTATAATCATAAATGATTATGTAGCGTCGTCTGTTCCTTTCTCCTCCACCACCTTAACTGCCACCGCCACCACCACTACCACTACCTCTGCCACCAGTCGACCCCACCACTGCCACCTCTGCCATCATCACATCTTTTGCTACCAACTGTCATAATGATATATGATTACTCAATTTGTGAACAGACATATATGTATAATCATTTATGATTAGGCCTACTCCGCTGCTGTCGGTATGTTGGAGCGTTAGAGTGTGTGTGTGTGTGTGTGTGTGTATGGTGTATGTGTGTGTGTGTGTGTGTGTGTATATATATATATATATATATATATATATATATATATATATATATATATATATATATCGAAACAACAAATCTAACATACTCTTAAATTACTTCTTAAATTCACGACGGGACTTGAACCTTCAACTTCAAGTAGAAAAACAACACCAAATACCTCTAAGCTAGAAGACCTTTGGTTTTTAATATCCTCTCTAATAAATGAAAATAATTTTGTCACATGTCACTCTCTCATTAAATTGGACATATGTCATTTTTTTGGTATTTTTAATAAATGATTTTTCCATTTGTCATTTTCTCATTTTTTTTCTTTTCTTAATTAACACATCATATTTACATCTTAATTAATAATTGCCTTAATTGAATATAGTCAATAAATTACAATATTAATACTCATATAGTAGTTAATATGTTTTCTTTTAAATTCAAATTTTAAATTTTAAATCTAAAATTTTTAAATTTAAATAATTTTTTTTAAAAACCATCATATTTAATTTTTTGTTTTATCCAACCCGTATAACATACGGGTCTCACAACTAATGTATATAATTGTGAGAGGTAAATATATAATCATTAATAACCCCGAAACCTATTCCTCCAATGCGAGCGATAACATATTTCGGGCCTATCACGGGCCCATAGTTGGTAATTTGGGTATCTGGTTTCCATGTGTTACCACTTACCAATAGTAGATGTTGGAGCGTATAATTGAAGTAGTGTTTGACACCTTATGATTGTTTGTACTTTGTCGTGTATTTATAATTAACTGATTTCAAGAGTCAAGACCTTTTCTTTGGTCCATAGCTTTAGAATAATTGAACTAGATAGAAATTTCCCATTCATCCCAATAATTTAAACTTTAAAGTAAGAGCATCCACAATACAAATAGTATAAGAGTTGAATAGGGTGATGATTAGGATTGAATTAGAGTTTAATGGAGTATGGGTGATAACATGAAATAGAGTTTAATGGAAGAGTTGAATGATCATGGTTCAATAGAAATAATAAAATGATGATTGTGATTGAATAAATATTTAATAGATAGTGAATGATGTTGTATAGATGTTATGTGTCAATCCATTGGATTCTACCACAACAACATATTTCTATGTTTTATCAACTTTTTCTTAGAGTATTCTTTCAAAGTCTTCTTTTTCGAGTTTTTTTAGCTTTTCATCACTCAATTAGTATCTTACTAACATTTAACATTTTTATTTCAAAACACCAATTACCATACAAAAACATTAAGATATCAATAAACACCCATTATGCAACTACTACAAACATACCCACACTCAATTAAAAACGATACATCTCAATCGGAAGCCTCGGCTGAGCCACCGTAAGAAGTGGAATTTTCTTGGGAGTCGATAACCCAAATATCTCCTCCATATTCAGATCATTTTCACTCATTGTCTTCGGCAATTTCCAATAAAATCCATGAAGCAAATTAGCCAAGGTTGATTCAATCACTTTCAACCCTAAACTATACCCAGGGCACATCCTTCGTCCTGCACCAAATGGCAAAAGCTCAAAATCATGACCCTTAACATCGATCTCTTTTCCGATGAACCTTTCTGGATAAAATTCTTCAGGTTTCTCCCACAAATTAGGGTCTCTTCCGATTGACCAAACGCTAACCAGCACTCGAGTTCCTTCAGTAATGTCGTAACCGGCGACTTTGCAGTTTTCACGAGCTCTTCTCGGAACCAACATCGGAGCCACCGGATGTAGCCGCATTGTTTCTTTCGCGATTGCCTCGATGTAAGGTAGGTTAGGCATGTCCTTCTCGCTCACCCATTTATCCTTGCCTATCACCCGATCCAGTTCTTCGATTGCCTTCTGGAAGATCTCTGGTTTTTTTAGGAGTTCGGCAATCGCCCATTCAACGGTTACGGCGGAGCTTTCGGTTCCTCCGGCGAGCAAGTCCTGTCATTGTCAGATTGGAAAAGTATTAGCGACACAGTGTACGACACCGGTTAATCTTTGTAGTGCGCAGATGGGGTCCATTTAATTTAGATCTTTTTAAAATATGATATTAAACTTCAAATTGAATTTTATTTTATGATAGTTATCGATTCAAGACTTATATTGATGTTAATTTACTAAGAGTATCTTATGGCTTGACCGTATTAACGTTTTTAATATTTCAACCAAGCATCAATAAGCAGAAAGTGGTTGGAAAATGATGGGAAAACACTTAAATAATGGCGTTATTGTAGAAAAGTTTTAGTTATATACAAAACCTTCTTTAAATTAATGAAGGTTTAATTAAGAAATGGATAAGTCTCCACAGTTTTCAATTAATTTTGTTTGTTAATAGAAAAGAAATAAACGATGAGCTTTATAAACGATGAGCTTTCGTTTTGAATTTAAATAATCACCATATCTAATTAAATAATGTTAAAATATTATATTGAAAAGGATGCGATTCTGAATATTGTATCATGAATTTTGACTAAAAACAGAGAGTAGTAAAATAGTAACCTGGGTAAAAGCTTTGACGCCATGTCGCTCAAGTTTAACATCAAGATTTGGATCATCGGCAAGTTGCAACAGCAAATCAACCATGTCCTTCGCTTCGAATTTCTCTCCGGCGGCCTTCCTCCGTTCATTATGCTCGTCAAGAACATGCTCGAGAAACCGATCGAATTTCTTACTCACGGTCTTCATCCTCTTCACATACCCCTGTAAATCCATGAAATCGATCCACGGAATCGAATCTCCGATGTTAAAAACACCGTTCAACAGAAACAACTCGTCCAGCATCTTCTTGAACTCGTCCGGACTCACCACCGAATTTGATTCTTCGTCCAAATACCTTTTCCCCAAAACCATCCGGCTAATCACGTTCAAGCTCACCGTCGATAGTAGATCCTTCAACGGGATCTCCTCGCCAGCCGATTCAAAAATGGATTTCACGAGTGAATTCGTCTCCTCCACTCGGATGTACTCGTATGATTCGAGGCGTTTAACGCTAAACAGCTCCATTAGACACATTTTACGAGCTTGGCGCCAGTAAGCTCCGTAAGGAGACCAGGTGATATCAGAGTAATTGTAGGTTGTGTATTTTCCGGCGGCAGTTTTAGGCCGGCAGGCAAAGTTGACATCCATCGTTTTGAGGAAAACCTTCGCCATCTCGACTGAGGATCCAACAACGACGTTGAATGAACCGAATTTGAGTTGCATGATTTCACCGTATTGTTGTGACAGATCATGGATGGAACGGTGAGGGAGGGTGCCTATGAGGTTGAGGTTTCCAATGATAGGCCAAGGTTTGGGGCCGGGCGGTGGATTGAGATTTTGGGAGCGGCGGAGGCGGCGAGCTAGGAGGAAGAGCGCCACCGTGGCTAGCCATGCTGCGGCGTAAGGAGTATAGTAAGAAGTAGAAGAAAGTGAGTCCATTGGAAGTATGTGTTTTTTGCTACGAACTTATGAAAAGGAAGGCATAATCTGGTGGTTATTTATAGTTGGATTTTGTAGAAAAAGGCTTGATAGCATGTCTTACATGTACAGACTTTAGACACTGAAAGTAACATACATTAAAAGCTGGGCTCACATTTTAAATTATTACAAACCACTATTAAAGTTATTGCGGTCACATTTAACCCTTCATATTACGTAAGAATGATTTTTCTTTAGTTGTAAGAATGAATTTTCTTTAGTTCTGAAGGTTGTCCGAGGGCGTAGCACATAGGTGAGTCGTAAGATTTTTTTTAATTGTAAGAGATGGTACATATGAAAAAAATAAAAAATAAATAAATAAGAATTACCTAATAATCTTTGAAAAAAAATATCAACAAACCCATATTTTTTTATACACAATAACCATTTAGATTAGTTGAATATCTTAATATATCCCAATCCATTTAAAGTTAAATAAAAGAAAAAATAGAATCGTCACATACGAATCACGATTCATCGACATTCCCTGATCGCGTATGGTTCAATTGTATTTTTAAATATTTTGAAGGCATACGACCCAACCCCGCCACAACTAGTATATTTTACTCATATTTTTTTCAGTTTCAATAACATAAGGAACCACGTGGTTTTTTGTTCTAGATTCACCGGACCGAATCCTTAATAAAAAAAATTGAATTTTCATACTTGTCAAGTAAATCATTGCATTAATCATCAGTCATGATTTGTACGTTAGTTATGTGAATATGTTTCACCAAATCGGTACATGGATGAGATGGATATCGCGATCATGTACTTTTCTTCTGTTTGCCCTATAATGTGGCATACCAACATCTACTCCTGCGAAGACAGAAAATTTTTTGTTGCATGATAGCGACATATCGCTCTTCTTCCATCTTCTAAAATCATATTGTGTAATATGATGCATGCATACATTATTTTCGTAGCCTTGCGGCCTTATATGATTGTGCCAGAGTTTCAGTATCTGCCAACACCTCTTAAGTACACCAAATGATCATTCCACGTCCTTCCTAGCCACTATTTGGGCATTCATAAATTTATTAATTTTTCGTCATTTGGACATGTGAACGATTTAACATAAACATATAATTTTGGATATATCTCATTAATAAGATAGTACTCACGCTTATATGTTACTCCATTTGCTTGAAATGACATATCATGTGCCTTCCCACGATAGACAAATTGAATATTGATCGTTGGTCAAGAACATTGATATATGTAATTCTCATTTTCCAAAGTATGATCTTGATTGCAAGCTGGTAGTTTCAAGATGAAGTTTTGTGGGTTTTGGGGCTGAGGCTCGACATGATTTTGGACGATCACGACGCGTTTGGGGCATTTCCAACGACATGTCTAAGTTATGGTGTGGCGCACCCTAATGGCCAGTTAAAACCCTAATTTCTTGGGGTTTATGACCTATTTAAGGGAACTAGCTTCTTGGGTTACTTGTTCTTCTTGTGTGTTATTGAAGAACAAGGAGTGTGGTTTTATGCATAGAAGCTATCTCCAGTTAAGATCCAACATTCTCCTTGCTTTTCGGACCTTGGTAAGTCATCAAGTTCTCATATTTATGATTTTTGGGTTATGAATCTTACTTTATGAGTTCTTTTGACCCCTTATTGTCACATTTCTATGGAATTAGAAACTCTAGGCCCCCAAAGGCGGTTTAGAGTAGTTGCCTAGAGCCAATATGGTGTGAAGATGTGAATTTTGATCTACCAATTGAGTCGTGGACATGTTAACAGGAAACACATGGCCCAGCTCCAAAAGGATGGAGTGTTGGAATCATTTGACCTAAGGTCAGATGACACATGCGAGTCTTGTTTATTGGGAAAGATGACAAAATCATCTTTCAGTAGTTCTTGTGAAAGAGGTGAAGGATTGTTGGATCTCATACACACAGATGTGTGTAGGCCCTTCAGATCCCCCATAAGGGATGCAAATCGATCCTATGTGACTTTTACTGATGATTATAGCAGGTATGGCTATATCTACTTAATCAAGCATAAGTCAGAAACCTGTGAAAAGTTCAAAGAGTTGAAGCATGAAGTCGGGAATCAATTGGGCAGGAAGATAAAGATGCTTACATCCGATAGAGGCGGTGAGTATCTTAGTATCGGGTTCAACGACTACCTCAAGGAATGTGGAATAGTTTCACAATTGACACCTCTTAGGAAACCACAACTTATCGAGTTCAACGACTTTTTGACTACTTTGAGTTTTGGTTAAACTTTGATGAATATGAGTGAAGGACCGACGTTTGACCTTTTTTTGTCAATAAGTGGTTCATACTAGCTGATTTGTTGAGGAGACTACTCGGGAGACTAGGTTTTCTAGCATCATGTGAGTTTTCTTACTATATTATGTGTGACATTATATGTCCAATATGTGGTAGGGTGCATGTGTTCGATTAATATGTGATTATGTGATAGACTAAGAAAATTGTGTGTAAGTATATCTAATAGGTTTGTTTTTTTGAGGTGTTAATATTGATAGATCACTGAGTGAATATCGTAGGGGTTGTGCATAGTTTAAATGATATTGCTTAGAACTCTTGATCTAGATTTATTTCATGGTTGTTGTTTGATATATTGATTTCTATTAGGAACAAATGTTCAACTATCTATATTTTTTCCCGACTACATGTGATTATGTATTCGTGTAATATGTAACATGGTTCTGACTGTGTTTTTATTCCAAGATAATGGATTTTAAAGTCTAGGGAAATATAGAAGTATGAAAGGAAGTATTAATCAAGAAGGAACTTAATTGAGAAGAAAAACATGTAAGAGTGGGGTGTCGATAAGCAGATGCGACGCGTTTTAGATGGAAGGCCAAACCCTAATTCTCGGGATTTGAGCCATAATTAAAGGCATTAACTTCTAGGGTTAGTCATTTTCATGAGCCTTCATCTCCAAAAACCCTCTAACCTCAAAACCCTAGCCTCTCCCATCTCTTTTGGTGATCTTGGTTCTTTTGGTGAAGTTTGAAGTTGAAGCAAGGATGTAACACCCCGACTCATAGATATAAAACTTTAAAGCTTATTGTCATATTCTTAGACCTACTCGACGAGTTGGATGCCCCAACTCGTCGTGTAGAAGCGGATCAGGCTGCGTAATTTATAAGGTCTACTTGACGAGTTGGAGGACCCCAACTCGACGAGCAGGAGCTGGAAAATGAAACCCTAATTTCCTGGGTTTTGCACCCTATTTAAAGGGCCATTAGCCTCCCTTAGCCTCCCTTATCGTCCCCTTGAGCTCAGAAAAAACCCTAATCGCGCCTACTCGCCGTTTTTGTGTGTTAAGAAGCTTGAAAGGTGGATCTTGTAAAGAGAACTTGAAGTCTAAGGAGCTTGAAGCAAGGAGAAGCTTGTGGATCTAATTCTACTTCATCTTGGCATCATCTTGAATGTAAAAAGTCGTTACCATGACTTATCTCTAGCTAGATCTCTTCATGCATAGGTTTAGGGCCATTTTTAGCATATTTGTGGATCATTTCGGGTATTGGGTATGATCTGAAGCTGTAACTTCAGATCTGGACTCCTCGAAGTCCTTATAGTCATAAAGTTATCGAATTTAGCAAGCATTGGCCCTTCTATTTGGCTAAAACCTATCCCTTAGCTTGGTTTTGGCATTTAGAACCTTGCATGTACGTAAAGTTTGCAACTTAACGTGGAAACCATGCCCTAGGTAGTTAGATCTGCAATCTAGAGCTTTGGGGTAGCTTAAAAACGTCTGGATGAGAAATGGATTGAAGGGACTCGACAAGTTGCATGGCCAACTCGATGAGTCGGATGAAGATTGCTTGTATTGGTTCTGCATGGACTCGGCGAGTCAGTGAGAAGACTCACCGAGTTAGTTAGGGTTTTTCCCGACATTTGGACATCGCATGGACTCGATGAGTTTCCGGGAAACTCGGCGAGTCAACTAGGGTTTTCACGATTTCTCAAGTTCTGGAAGAACTCGACGAGTCAGTGGGCTACACTCGACGAGTTGGGTCAACATGGACTGTTGACCTTGACTGTTGACTTTGACTTTGACCAAGGGATGACCAGTTTGACTTATGGGGGTATTTTAGTAAATTGGGAATTTATGGAAGTGGATCATTGGTGGATGTAGGTGTTTGAGTTGGAGCTGTATTTGGAGGAGTTTGACATTATCATCCCGAGCTACTTGTGAGGTGAGTTGTCCTCACTATACTAACAGAGTCGAAGTCACCAATGCCGGCCCTTTTCGGATATGTATCCGGGTTTATTGCATGATATGCTTATTGATTTTCATCCTGGTAGTTAGGACGGTGATATGCTTAGTGACCTGGTAGGTCGGTATCCTGGTATATAGGATAATGCTCTGTTAGTGACCGGTTAGGTCTGTAACCTGGTTATAGGATGTTGCTATGATTAGTGATCTGTTAGATCGATTTAACTGTTATATATGCTAGCGTATGATATTTATGTCTACATGATTGATTGATTTGGGGGTTGGGTTGAGGTGGACCTGCTTTGTGCTGAAGGCCAACATACCCTGGGCGGACCGGATAGACTGCAGACCTGGGAGGGCATACTAGTCAGGCCGAAGGCCCGACAAGCGGTCTGAATAGGCTGAAGGCCCTGAGAGGCGGTCCAGACGTGCCGAAGGCCCGGAGAGCGGTCCCGATAGACTGATGGCCCTGCGAGGCAGTCCGGTTAGGCTGATGGCTCATTATACATGTTCTTTGTTTATATGATATGATTATGATTGTATGACGTTGGTATTTTGGGGGAACTCACTAGGCTTCAGGCTTAAAGTTGTTGATTTTGTTTCAGGTACTTCTGATGATCGCGGGAAGGCGAAGGCGTGATCGTACACCTCCTTATGTTTTTATGATTTGATTATGGGATACTCTGACACTGAACCATTTTGATAACATATTTGTAATAATTATTGGTTTTTGAGTGATTTAAAAAGTTTAAATTTGGCATGATTTTTATGGGTGTTACAAGTTGGTATCAGAGCCTTGGTTTGAGTGAATTGG